TCCTCGCCGTCCTTCTCCGTGGGCAGGTCAACGTCTTCGTCGACATCGTCGAGAAGGCTCTTGAGTCCCTTGACGCCACCAAACTTGATGTTGTACTTTGCGGCATAGGCGGCGACGTAGCTGTCGAAGTGAGAGGGCACATAGACGAAGGGGCGCGCCTTGGACTTGCGGGTCTTGTCATCGTCTTCCAAAAGAGAGTAGCCGCGGAAAGCCTGGCCACACTTGATGAAGCCGGCCATGACCATGCCGAGGTCGCAGACCTCGGAGTCTGGCTTCAAAAGACCCATGCGCTCGAGACGGGCGAGCATGGACAAGAAGAGAGTGCCAACGAGCTTGGCTGTGAGGCTGGCGAAGTCGCCGTCATCACACCTATCATAAGATTAGTACCGTGCGAACAATAATGGTTGCGAATGAAACTCACATCGCGAAGTCGTCCCCTGAGAGGTACCAGATGAAGGGAGACAGAGCCTCGCAGATGACCCACTGCTCCTTCCAGTTCGCGCTGGCCTCATCAAAATCCAGGACCAGGTTCTGAATGATCTCGATAATGCCGTAGGCACGGTGGTCGTTGTAGGTGTACATGCCGAAAAAGTCCGGGTCGCGGACCTGGACATTGGGCTGCTGGTTCATGAGCTTGTAGTAGCCGGCACGCATGATGACATAGGGAGCATCAGGGTGGTCCGCAGCGGGCTTCTCGCAGAGACAAGTCTTGCCGAGGTCGCACTTGGGCTTGGGCCCGTCGCCCTCTTCCTCACCTTCATCCTCGCCATCCTCGTCTTCGTCTTCCCACTCATCTTCTTCCTCCTCCTCACCACCAAGGTTACGCTTAGTGCCCCAGGGACATCTGCAGATGAATTCGAAAGCCTTCTTGGCATCCGCCATCTTCTCCTTGTAGTCGCGGTCTGAATTGCGCGTGTTGGAGACTTTGGTGAAGCGGCTCTTGGCGGCCCAACGCGGAGGCTCACTCTCTGAAGAGGAAGACGCCTCCGGGGCCGTCTTGGTCTTCTTCGCGGAGTCCGAGACGTCGCTCGCGTCTGAACGTCTCTTGGGAGGCATGTTGGGTAAGAATAACGGTCTAAGTCAATGGGCAAGGATGGGTTGTCAAGGACAGAGACAAAAACCGTTCAACGTCGGAAGAAGGAAAGCTGATAAATCTAAAGGCGTTGGAAGCTCCTCTTGTCTGAAGCAGGTGGGTAACCACCATCGTCGCCCCTAAAGTCAAACGTAGATAGCACCCCAGGACCCTTAATTGCTTTTCCGACGCGAATCAACGCATCGAGCCATCCTGCCATGACGAAATGTTTTTCGAGCCGTGGACCTTTAATCCCTGACCGTGTCGGATCATGTGATGCGAACATGTCCAAAGTGTTCTAGATATTCCTCGAGAAATCAATTGATGATCATGGTCAAGGATATCAAAGTTTAAAGATGGGTTGGAAATTGCCGATAGCTGTTGTCCATTTGGGGAAAGCTGCTGTGAGCCATCCGCACATCGCTTATGTTGAGACCCTGGTAGGGCTGCATAAGCCGACCTCTTTCTCGGGCCCAGCTACCGACCGAAGATGCGGGAAACAACATTCGAGTACTCTGGAACATGCAGTAAGACGTTAACGAACATAAGGCGCACGAGCGTGCATGTGCTTTTTGATACCCCCGGGCAGTTGGCGTACATTTTATGGTTGAGTTCCCCTATTTTTCCGTGCTAGAGCTACTACTTTTCCTGTATGCTAGCTGTCGCCTCCAATCGCCTCTATCGTTGTTACAATCGCTATTATCGTCGTTTCTTGGATCGTCAAAATCGTCGTTGTCCCTAATACTGATTTACTATTGTCTTTGACCGAAGTCATTACCCAGAGAATGCATCCGCGCAGACATGGGGAAATCAGACGGTCTCGTATGGAAGGCTAGGATGTGATGCTGTTTGGTTCTCTCCTTCCAATGTTTTCGACCTGGTGCTTAGTTGTAGACGTAGGACTCAGGTAGAACCGGCAAAGCGATTCTGCTCTAGGAGCCTGATAGACCGTTAAGTCTGAAGGCTGCATGGTTTAACGTTGCGCGCCTCAATCTCAATGTGCCTTTTCTCGATGTACTCAGGGACGAGCGTCCACGTATCGCTGGGTTAAGCTCTGGGGTGATTGACACTGATCTGGATGACCTGAACCAACTGAAGGCGGCACCAATTGCCAGTGTACAGCAAGCGTGTGGGGATGGCTGTTGTACATTGAATTCATATTGATACATATTGAATACTTCCCGCTTCTCGAGAAGTTTCGACTCTATATCTTGAGCCGTCATAGTCGCCCTTTCAGCATCCAACACCGCGCGGACATGCTGCATGCGTGGCTTAAATCCCGCCAGACGGACGAGGTTGTGTTCTTGATGCTGTTTCTCTAGCATGCGCCGGCGTCCTGCTTTCCTCGCTTGTTCGGTCACAGTCGCAAAAACTCCAGGTGGCGCACAGTCTTAGCAACCCAACTTCTTGCGTCCCTTCGCCCTCCTCCGTGCAATGATCTTGCGGCCGTCCTTCGTCTTCATGCGAGAGAGAAATCCGTGTCTTCGCTTCTGGATCAATCGGGTGTTTCGGTTCATGGTGTTACGGGGGCCGAAGCAGAGCTGCATGGAGGCCAGGGCAGGATGTTGCGTGACAGCACTGGTGGGGACGACATCGGCGGCATTGGCTGTTGAAGGAGCGAACGGCGTGATCGCTGGCCGGCGGAAGGCAGATGTGAGAGGAGTAATTGAAGGACGGAGGGAGGGGAGAGAGGAGAATGTCCTGGAGGGGCACCCTGTCAGCCTTATTGCTTCTTTGGAGGGCATTCGATATATCTCGATCGTCACCTTTGGGAGACAGTCTGCGCCACACGGGCGGGCTGCACAGTTGTGCGGGCGAGGAAAGCCCTCGCCAGGCTTGTGACCGATTGGCGCATCATTTTGGCAGCGTTTGTGCTGTCTCCGTGCTGCTGGCGTAGATCTCGCACGTCTCGATATCGAGCTGCTTGAGATTTTGCGGCCGACTTTCTTGCGATTGACGGGAGTTGCCGTAGTCCATGCACCTAAAGGGGCTCTATCCATAAACGGGGCGGAACGTTGCGTTCGCCAGGTGTTTCAGCCAGTCAACGCAGAAAGAACCTGGAGAATTTGGAGCGAATCATGACCCCTGCCGACTCCCGCAAGCTCCGAACTTCAGCTTGTGCGGACCCCACTTGGGCTGTCTGGGGGCCAAGCTCACTGTGGACAGCTTGCCTGCTGCTGACCGGGTTGATTGCTTTGCGACACGGCCGGAGCCTGTCCCTCTTTCCTCAAACCAACACCTCCATTTCCTGTCCCTCCTTTGCCATATTTTCAACAGCAAGGACGGAGGCAGCAAGATGGATTTCCTCCAGCGCCTAGCCCGGTTCTTGGACCGCCCGTTATTCCCATGGAAGCGTCTCATTCTCGGCTTCTCGGTCGGCCAGTTCGTCTTCGAGAGCCTGCTCTCGCTGCGCCAGTACCAAGTCCTCAAGAAGACAAAGCCCCCCAAGGTCCTCGAACAAGAAATCTCACAGGAAACTTTCGACAAGTCTCAAGCCTACGGTCGCGCTAAAGCTCAATTCGAATTCGTCAACGGTCTCTGGGGTCAGATCCAGAATATTGCTTTTATCCAATACGATGTCCTCCCCAAGCTGTGGTCTTGGACCGGTAACCTGCTGCTCAAGTTCGCGCCGGCGCGCTTCACCGGCGAGATATCACACTCCATCGTCTTCGTCCTGGCCTTCATCGTCATCCAGCAGATCCTCTCGCTTCCCAGCTCGGTATACCAGACCTTTGTCTTGGAGGAAAAGTTCGGGTTCAACAAGCAGACGCCCAAGCTATTCATCACCGACATGATCAAGTCCCAGTTGCTCGCCTTTGTCATCGCTCCCCCGATTCTCGCCGGTTTCCTCTCCATTGTCAAGAAGACTGGCAACCAGTTCTTCTTCTACCTCTGGTTGTTCGCCGCTGGTCTTCAAGTCTTCATGATCACCATCTACCCGATTGCTATCCTGCCCCTGTTCAACAAGCTGTCGCCTTTGGAAGAGGGCGAGCTGAAGACCGGTGTCGAGAGCCTCGCCAAGAGCCTGAACTTCCCCCTGCACGAGCTCTACGTCATCGACGGAAGCAAGCGCAGCGCCCACAGCAACGCCTACTTCTTTGGTCTCCCCTGGAAGAAGCACATTGTCATCTACGACACCCTCATCGAGAAGAGCGAGACGCAGGAGGTCGTGGCTGTCCTGGCTCACGAGCTGGGTCACTGGAGCTTGGGTCACACTACCCGTCTCTTTGGCATCTCCCAGGTATGTTCCCAAAGCCGTTCACGAGCATGTTCCCCGCAACTAATCCACTCCAGGTCCATTTCTTGTACATCTTCACTCTGTTCTCGGTCTTCATCAGCAACAACTCCCTGTACGCCGACTTTGGCTTCCTCAAGGAGCACCCCATCATCATCGGTTTCATCCTCTTCTCTGATGCGCTCTCGCCCATGGACACTGTTGTTAAGCTCTTGATGAACATCCTGAGCCGCAAGTACGAGTTCCAGGCTGATGCCTTTGCTCAGAAGCTTGGCTACTCCGTTGAGCTGGCTAAGTCCCTGCTCAAGCTCCAGATCCAGAACCTCAGCACCATGGATGCCGACTGGGTCTACGCCACGTACCACTTCTCTCACCCTCATCTGTCCGAGCGTCTCAAGGCACTCAACTGGAAGTCCACGGGCAAGGTCACCAAGGATGAGCCCACCGTCGGAACGACCACTGGTAGAGATGAGTTGTAGGCGGTTTTGGAACATTAGATCAAAGAGGCATCATGCCACACCATGCTGGAGCGAAAACTCCACAAAATATCATGTAGAATAACTATACTACCCACTTTGCGCAAGTGGTTTTGGCCTCCATCAAGGAGGAAGGTAGTTGAATCATGACGCTTATCAAAGTTCCACCCTTTTTGTCCTAAAATCCATCAACTTGAAACCAATGCTTCCATCACGATCAGCGCCTAGGGGCCCTCATGTTGGCCATGACCCTTGCAAGCAACTCTTCCCTCGTGTCTGACTCCCCAGGAAATAAGTTTCGCTAACGACAGGTCAGCATGAAATTCAGCGATCAGATATAAGAAGTTTTCGTACTGCCGCTAGCCATCGCCTCATCTCTTCTCTTGTCCACTCCTCGGGGTTGCCAGTTGGATCGGCGCCTGCCGGAAACATGTCCCCGCCGTAGATGGCCCATACGGCAACAGCCGTAACTAAGCCTCCGAATGCTTCATTGTTCGTTAGTTAAGAATTCTCATACGCATTCCCGTCAGAACTAACCAAGGACTGCATTCTGTGAAATGTTAGCCAATACAAACACACGTAGGCCCAGAAGACTCACCTTTGACTTCATAGCATTGTCGAGTGGGGTGGGCATTTTGGGAACTAGGTGTGGCGGTGCGTTTGCTGGTTAAACTGAAAGAACCTCAGGGTTGTTGCAAGATTTACTCTGGCTAGACTTATATGAGAAAAATAACACGTAGATATAGGCTAATAGCAACGTGTTAGCAAGCAGAATTGAGTTGAAGCGTCGTCAACTCGTGCCAAGGTACAGGCCGAGTATGTCTGGGCGAACAGCTCCGGGTGACGCGTCAAGCCACAGTGACGTGGGACTACCACCCGCTGCTGCCTGTGGCGGGACAGTCAGGCCCCACGCAGAGCCCGTCGGCACGATCGGTGCAAATCTCCCGACGCAGTCGCAGGAATGGAAATGCTCCAGAAGGGGAAGCAGGAGGGAAAGACAGACTAAAATGGCCCGTGCACCCGCCTGGCAGCTCGCGCGGTCCGGCGCCAGGGGTCCATCCCACAAAATCAAATTCACACCAAAAAACCACCCACGAAAGTGTTCCACGACAAAACCACCCATCGACCAGACATAGACCCCCTCGTTGTCGCCAAAAACCCCCATCAATACCGCCAAGATGCCTCAAGAGATCGGTGATATCAAGAAGGTTCGTACGGTCGACGTTGCCATGCTGGGCAATTCCCATGCATTTTCCCAGGGGAAGTTTTGACTAACAATTCGTTTTGCAGTTCATTGAGATTGCCCGCAGGAAGGACGCCTCTTGTATGCATTTTCCCACATCCTCCCCTGACCACCATCGCCCGCGAACCGACGAGAACGAGTCTTGTTGTCGGAGGACAGCGGAAACCTGGGTGTCATGATTGCAAAAAAAAAAAAAAAAAGGGGGAATTGAGATTTCTAACGATTGAAAAAAATAGCCGCGCGCATCAAGCGTAACCGCAAGAGCTCCCAGATCAAGTTCAAGGTCCGCTGCCAGCGCCACCTGTACACCCTCGTCCTCAAGGACAACGACAAGGCCGAGAAGCTCAAGCAGTCCCTCCCTCCTCGTACGTCTTTCCCGTCGCATTCTTCTACCCGGCCTCACAAGTTGGCGCGTTGTTGCGTTCCCCCCCTTTGGTTCGAACGGGCATCGAAGAAGACGAACTACCATTGTAAGAACGCAAGCTGACCGTGGGTTCCCCCCTCCTACAGAGCTCCAGATCAAGGACGTTCCCAAGAAGAACCCCAAGGGCGGCAAGGCCTCCGCATAAGCGAGTCGAAAACGCCGAATAACTTGACACAAAAAAAGGGATTAAAAATGTCTTCGATGGGGCGGAGTTGCTAGAACTTTGTCAGTTAGCCTGACACTGAGGTCCAATGGAATGATTTGTCCCCCTCCGGTATTCGCATACATACAACACTGGGTCCGGTCGGTCTGGGAACGAGGCGGTTTCTTGTCCTTTTTTGAGTGTCTTCATGTCCCGAAAGAGACCATGACGAGGTGAAAAAGGAAGCTAGAACCGTAGCATCAAAACGATATGGCGTCGAGGGATTACCTAGGCAATTGCAATGATGGATGGATTGTCTCCTGTCTACTAGCAGACATTTGTCCAATGAAGAAAAGCAACCATTGAACACACCAAAAACAAGCAAGACGGGGAAACTTTCATGTGCTGATGGGCTCTCTCCATGTCGTGTGTCGTGCACGCCTGGCCCTCTTAGGACGCCGTTGATTCCGCTGATCCTCGCCCGTCTATCCCAGGAACAAGGGCCATGGCCTGTCGTCTCGCTGAACTCCAGCCCGCTTGCTTCCACTGTCGAAACGAGCATACCGAGGGAGACCGTCTCTACATGATCCTCTTGTAGTGCCAGATGTCCGTCCCCGTCACAAACTCCTGGATGCCTGCCCACTCCTTGAACCCTTCGTGCTGCGCGATTGCCTTATGTTGCTCGACCGATGACCAGCCGCAGTACATGACGAACTCCTCTGTGCCGTCCACAGCCCGCTCGATTCGCCAACCGCCGCGCACGGGGTACGGCTTCGAGGCATCCTCAACCACCCACTTCGCTTCGGCGTACTTCTTGACGAACTCCTCCTTGCGCTCAGGCCGCACGCCGAAGCGCCCAACGCTGACCACCGGCGCCGTCAACAAGTTAGGCGGCTCGTCTTCGGCCTTCTTCTTGCCCTCTGCCTTGTTTTCTGCAGCTGCCGGCGCTTCCGGCTCCTTGTCCTTCGATTCCGCTTCTGCCGACTCAGCGGCAGCAGCCGCTTCATCACCCCCCGTCTTTGCTTCGCTATCCGCCGTTGCTGCCGGCGTGCTCTGCCCCGGGACGAATATGGGCGTATCGATGTGGAAGAATAGCACTGCCCGCGGACCCTCGCGGTGGATGAGCGGCGTCAGCTTGCCCATGACGTTTTGGTTTTCTGGCGAGACGATCCACTCGTGGTGCGCCTCAGGAGAATCCCATTGTGCGGCCAGCAGCAGTACGCTCGGGTCCTCGACCTGCTGGAGGATGGCGGTGCCGCGTTCCACACGCTTCGGCGGCAGACCGGGCTTCTGGCGGAGAACCCAGGTGTCCTGGACCGTCTGGCAGTAGTCGAGGAGCTCCTTGGTCTCCTCGTTCGGGAGCTCCTTGAATTGGAGGAGTGCGAGCTCTGTGACGGCCATCTTGGCAGAATGTTTTGTCGGATGGGTGGGGTGGCAGGCGATCGAGAATTTGCAGGAATTGGTGTCTTTCGAGCTGCGAATCTGAGGAATAGGAGAGCGTTATCTGGGGCTCTAGGCGGGGGCTTAGGATGGTGAGCTTGCTTTCGCTCGCGCGCGGGGTTCGGTGCGGGCCGGGAATACTGGGGTGTGAGCTTGAGTCCGGTTGGCTGGTGACTGGGATCGCTCGTCTACGATCTGAACTTGGGGCAGAGAGAATGGCGGCGCTCAGCTGGAGTTTGGATTCTCCTTTATTGACTGGAAGCTTGAAGTCGGATATTCCGAGGGATTCCGGTTGCAAGTTCATAGATCCAGCTCAGCGGGGCAGTAAGGCTGCAGTCTCGACGTCGTTAGGCCAGAGGTCTGGGTGTGACGTCGACCACAAACAAGCGCTGCGGCACAGACCGAGCCCAAGGTGAAGTACCCAAGGTAGGGCGGTGCTAATAAGCTCTATTGTCTGACAGCCCAGACTTCGAGTCGCATTGTGCCTGCCCCCCCCTCCCCCCCTCTGAAGAAGACACCAGCCAAAGCTCAGGAAGACTTGGATGGACTCGGATAGTGGCTGCAACCGGTCGACCCCGCACCGCTTTGCAGTGTCCCTGATTTGCTGCCTCGTTTTTATCGATAAACTTCTGTCCAGCCTGCGAGACATAACTAGGTTCAGCTCGACCGCCCGTCAACCGTCGGCATGTTTTGATTACCCACGATGGACGGAGATGAAAGCCGTCTGGCGCTAAGCCGCAACGCCGTCGTGTTCGGGCGCCGCAGGTACAGGAGCAGAGGGGCTTGTGGGTAAGGCGACATTCATGATGCTCGGGGCCTTCCTTCATGTTCTCCTGCTGGATGCCGCTGGGTCATATGTTCAGTCCACAACCGAAATCGCCCAGTTTCGAAGGCCGGTTACATTGAGATTTGATTGCCCTCAAAAGCGAACATTTGGAGGATGGATGTAACCTTGACTAAGAGACCCGTCGGTTTGGAACTCGGGGTTGAGGTTGGGGTAGCTTCCCCGATGACTGGTTCCAAAGTGTCGTTCGCAGTCTGCACACATCGGCGACGCTGGACGGTTACTTCAAACCTCGCTGCCCCTGCCAAGTGTTTGCTTGGTCCCGATGATCAACGACAAGTCGTCTGCCCAGACGATAAGGAGAAGAGTGCGGATGGTTTGACCCGCTATGCGCTGGGCGACCTGCGCCTCACTCGCCGAGCTGAGGGGATTTGGGAGCAACATGCTATCGATAAGGCAATCTCCGTAGGCTCCGCGCTGTAGGGCAGGGGGATAAGCCGCCTGGGGCATAAGCCGCCTGCAGATGAGTTCCTCATCATCCCAGCGGGTGGTTCACGGCGCTCGAGTGCATAGCTGTGTCTCCACGAGCAACTTGGGGCTCATGAAACCAAACGAGTCCTTCGGTGTGAACAGTCGGAGATAGTACGCAGCAGAAAACGGTTCTGTTCTCTTTCCGAGACACGGAGCTGCCAAATGAGATTACGGAATTCTTCTAGTCGAGTCTTGACTCGAGAGACAAGTTGGAGACATTCAGGGCTCATGTGACGACGTGGTATTAGTTAGGCGGCCATTCCTCTGGAAACCTGGCAGCTTCACCGCCTCGAACTGGCAAGAGTCAAGAGTGCAGCCTGGAACCCAACCGCAAGAGAGAATTCGTGATGCAAGGTGCCGTCAGCGGCGGAGGTGCAGCCGCTTTGCTCGGTGTCTGCATGCTGAGTCCGCTGTCGGGGGCGGGAGCAGGCAGCTATCGCATCGGACTGCCCAATACTTGACCAGCAAACCGCCAGACGGAACCAGGCGACCCAACTTACCAGGCGGGTAGCAGTTGGGGGCACACAGCGAGCCAGTAACACACAGCCCTTCCCGCGTTGAGGCTCAGACGAAACGACGCTCGGTCGCACCGATGGCGAAATGTCGTTGATGATCGAAAGTCATGATCGGACGGATGTGTCAGGTTGCTGGCGTGCGCAGCGCAAGGTATCTAGACTGCTGGGTACTCGTGCCGTAGCTCATCGTAAAGCACGGAGCTCTGCCGTATAGCAGCTTTCCAGCCGAGGTTTGGTAGCCGCTTTGTCCGTCCACTGTGTTGATTGGCTGTAGCTTCCCTCGCCCATTGGTCATCGCGATTCGCTCTTCAATAAAGCAAACAATTGGACCATGTTTGCTGTGGGTTGGGCGGCAGAAGCGGTAGCAGACAGCCGGTCAGCATCTTATCGTCGAAGCAATCTCGTAGGAGTGCTGAAGGCCAGAAGAGCCAGTAAGGTGTGTTCTGAAGCAACGGGCTTGGCGGACGAAGGAAGTGATGGTTGAGCTTGTCAGCTTGACAGCTTGTCAAGTCATTGCCGGCGGATGGCGTTAACGGCGTGGTCGGTGGCTTTCGTCCAACCCAAGCTTACTGCATAGCAATCAACAGCCGCACATAATGGGAAAAGGTTCCATGCCGTCGAAAACCTAACAAATCACCAATGTCGTCTTTGGAACTTTCGATGTTTGCTTCTCGAAGCTGCGTGTTGGGTTAGCTACCAGTGCCCAAGTAGAGGTAGAGTCCGAGGTGAGGAAGCCACACAAGTACCTGTCTCTTCCCAGTAAGGCGCACAATACGCAACACAGCTCGACAGGGAGTGAGGGACAACAACACCGCCCGGGCGGCCACCCTTTTCACCTGCAGATACCCCTGCTGCCGCAGGTCGGTGCTTGCCGGGAAACACCCGCCAGACCGGGAATGTCTCCCAGGGGAAACATGCAGGGCCAATGGTAAGGCGCAGAGGGCCGGCCGCCTGGGAGCCTAGCTGCAGTCATGGAGGGTACCTGCAAGTTGAACGCGTTATGAGGCGGTACCTAGAGGAACAACTTGAAGTAGCGATCAGGACCTGCTGTTGGTTGTTGGTTGGGGCAACAGCATGTACCTTTAGGTAAGATGACAGATAGTAAGATGATTGTAAGATGACAGGCACATCTCTTTCTCACTTCACACATCACGCGGCCGCCAGAAAATATGCAGTGCCTGGGGCTCAGATATCAGTTCTGCGTAATGCAGCCTGTCTTCCATCACCGAAAAAAAGAACTTTTCTTGGTGATGCGCAGTATCCCTGAATAGAACCAACTGCTCCCCCTTTTGGGGTCTGGAGTGCGACCAGTTTCGTCCTAACTTTTCCCCCGTCCATCGAAAACGAAAAGCCTCCACCGGAGCTTCCATTGCATTGCTCCCAAAACCTCCCGGCGGTGGACTTGAACAACAGAATTCCTCCCCCAGACTTGAACCCCGGCGCTCCCCTCTGCTCATCTAAATCAAGTCTCACTTGCGACACGTTTTATTCCCACATTACAAAGAACGGCTAGAACCCGCAAAAACCCAAGACCTCTTACCCTTATTTACCGTCGTTGTGTCTTGGACAAACACGCCTCCAACCGCCCCAACCCTTCCCCTCCTCCACCACATCACGCCCAGCTTGTGCTTGTTATTGACCCGACTCCTGTTTCCCGTATCCGTAAGTACCTCTACCCTCTCTCTGAGTTGCTTTCCCCATGTTTCCTGTCTGATAAGGGGGGCTCCATCCTCCATCTCCAGGCTCAGGACCACCACCACGTTGTCCAATTTGTCCGGCCACCCCCCGGAACCTGGGAAAGCTAAATTGGCTAACTGAATCGAGTGTCCCGTCCCTCCTGTCCTGCTCCTCCTCTAATAAAAGTGCTTGTATTACTGTATTACACACTTGCCAAATTACGCCTTTAAGTGCTGCTGCCACCGCTACCACCGCCTGGCGCGCCGCCATCGTCACCCGTCACCCGTCACCGCACCTGCACCCTCCTCTCCTTCCCAACACTTTTTCTCCATAGACTTTTCGGCACGTCCACTTTCACTTCTGAGCTGGCACAACCACACGACTCGCCGACTCGCTCCATCACGACCCATTCTGCGCCTTCCATTCGCTCCGCTATTAGTGCCACTCACCAATTGACCCCTCTTTACACCAAAGAGACGGACGACCGCGCCCAAGGACCCTGAGCCGCGATACTATGCTTGGCCGATAACACGCCTCCTCCACGACTGCACGACAACAACGGATCCCCTCCAGCAGCACGCAAATAATCTTGCTGTTGCAGCTTCAACACACGCAACCCGCTCATGGCTATCTTTGCTCCAGAGATGCGAAACCCCCTGGATGCTGTCGCCGTCAACGGTGTACCGACAACCTCTTTTGTGAACGGAAACGGCAACTTATCCCATCGCCTCAAAATGGATCGCAAACAATCAAGTCCTATGATGCCCGCCTTCATGGTCTCAGCGCCTGGCAAGGTCATTGTTTTTGGTGAGCACGCTGTCGTTCACGGCAAGGTCAGTTGCGAAACCCCCCCTTTTCCTAATTTCTGGCGCATTCACTGACATCTAAGAAACCAACAGGCCGCAATCGCCGCAGCAATCTCCCTACGATCGTATCTCCTTGTAACCTCGCTATCTAAATCCAGGAGAACTGTCTCCTTGCGCTTCCCAGACATCGACTTGCACCACACATGGAACATTGACGACCTCCCGTGGGCGGCGTTCCAGCACCCCTCTAAGAAGAAGTCATACTATGACTTGGTTACGGAGCTCGATCAAGACCTTGTCGCAGCCATTCAGCCACATCTGAACGAGGTCTCACCACACAAGCCCGACGATGTGCGGAAAGTGCATCAAAACTCGGCCTCCGCGTTCCTCTACATCTTCCTGGCTCTCGGCGACCGATCGTTTACGGGCTGCTTGTATACTCTGAGATCAACAATTCCCATCGGCGCAGGCTTGGGTAGCAGCGCTTCCATTGCGGTGTGCCTGGCGGCCGCTCTTCTCTTGCAATTGCGTACCTTGTCGGGCCCACATCCCGACCAACCTCCTGATGAGGCTAGGTTGCAAGTGGAGAGAATCAACAGATGGGCTTTCGTGTGCGAGATGTGCATACACGGAAACCCCTCAGGCGTGGACAATACTGTTGCGACCCAAGGCAAGGCCGTGGTCTTCCAGCGCACAGATTACAACAAGCCTCCAGCAGTGCGCCCACTGTGGGATTTCCCTGAGCTACCGCTTCTGTTGGTCGATACCAAGCAGGCTAAGTCAACTGCTTTTGAGGTCGCCAAGGTCGCCAAGTTGAAGAGCGGCCACCCGAAATTGGTCGGAAGCATTTTGGACGCCATCGATAAGGTGACGAATACGGCAGACGGCCTTATCGGCGACGAGAAGTTCGACAACAAGAGTGAGGAAAGCCTGCAACAGGTCGGAGAACTCATGACCATCAATCATGGACTTCTCGTCTCTTTGGGCGTATCACACCCTCGCCTCGAGCGGATAAGAGAGCTTGTCGACCACGAAGGCATTGGCTGGACGAAGTTGACTGGTGCTGGCGGTGGCGGTTGCTCTATCACATTGCTGAAGCCCGATGTGCCCAAGGACAAGCTCGTGCGGCTTGAGACTCAACTCGAGGACGAAGGCTACGAAAAGTTTGAGACAACTCTCGGCGGCGATGGCGTTGGCGTGCTCTGGCCTGCTGTTCTGAAGAACGGCGTGGAAGACAACGAAGGTGGTATGGAGATCGACCTGGACAGCTTCTTGAATGCCGATGGTAACGAGGGCGTTGAGAAGCTGGTAGGCGTCCACGGTGGTGCAGGTGAGAGGGAGGGCTGGAAGTTCTGGAGGGTCGAGAGTCGGTAAAGAACACGGCGACTCACTCTCTTCAATCTGCTTCTACACTTTCACGGCTTTGCCAGGGCGCAGAATCGGGAAAAGTTTTTGATACTACAGCTTATTCGCTGTACGACATGATAATGGCGCAGGAGACGGGAATATGAGAGGGGGCTTTATGTATCAGATATAATCGGCGTGCAAATTTTAGAAGCCCACCTTGCGGTGCTAAATTCCTTTTAATTCTATTATTCTGAAGCTGCAAACGGAAATTCTGTGTCAACATTGCTGTCGTGCCTGATGTCGTGCAACAGAGCTATCCAAGGTGGCTTCGCTAGATCAAAGGGTCTCAGGTGGGCGTTCCCGTGGTGGGGTAGCAGCCATGGGCGAACATTTTCCATGTCCGGGACATACTTCGCCGCCAGCTCAACCCCGCCATAGACCAAGCCAGCCGCAGACATGCCCGCCAAATCCAAGGCCAGCTCCAAAGCCAAGGACGCTGAGAACAAGAGTACGTTGGAGTGATGTTTATCCCTCTACGTTGCTGTCAAGGCCGCACAGCTCCTGTGTGGCCTGATGCATCAATCCCATTCGATGGCGTTCTCCAAAGCTGACTGTCTCCCCTCCATCATAGGCAAACAACAGACGCAAGCTGCGGCTGAAACCCAACAACCCCCGAAGACGATCAACGAGCGGTCTTTCCAGCGCTACCACCAGACGAACCCGCACGAGCGACGACGTGAGGAAGCCGGAGGTCTGCACGCCCTCTCGCCCGCGGAGCGACAGTCCTGGGTCAACGCGAGCCTAGTGCGCCGTGTAGCCAACAGAGAGTTCTTCCTCACCAACAAGGCAGAGCGCGAGTTCTGGAAGCAGATCAGCAGGGAATCGCCGCCGATCCGCCGACTCGAGAAGCCGAGAAGCGCCGAGCAGAAGGTCGTCTACGACTGGGGCAAGGACAAGAACGGGCGCGACCTGGGCGACTACCCGATCGACCAATTCACCGTTCGGGCCGCGAAACAGGCGCAGCTTACGGCGCTCGAAGTGTTGCACCGCAGGTTTCTTCAGCGAAGAGAGTTTGCGCGAGACGGCGTTCCGGACGCGGCCGAGGGCAAGGTCACAGAGATCACGCAGGAGGACATCGACGAAGAGAGGAAGAGACGACGGGAGATGGCGGCGCTTAGGAAGGAGCTCTACGGGGAGAAGATGGGGCCATACGCGACCGACCCGGAGTGGGACGACGTCGTGCCCATCCCCGCCGAGGAGCCCGAGGGCGCGCTGGCTACGATCGCTTACCCGGAGGACTATGCTGAGGGTAAATAATTCACTTCTTCTTTTTGTGTCTTGCACCGATGTGTGTGTGTGTCTTGTTTCGGAAAATGGTGGCCTCGGGGATTCTGCTCATCTATCATGTCCCACTGACTTTGTGCGCGTTCTTTCTAGTCATGAGCTACCTGCGCGCCGTCATGGTCGCCGAAGAGTACAGCCCGCGGTGCTTGCGGCTGACGGACCACGTTATCTCCATGAACCCAGCACACTACACTGTATGGCTGTACCGGTTCAAGATCGTCGAGGCGCTCGACATTTCCGTTATCGATGAGATCGAGTGGCTCAACGAGGTGTCGCTCGAGCACATCAAGAACTACCAGATTTGGCACCACCGCCAGCTGCTGCTTGACCACCACTACAACCACATCAAGGGCAGCCCGGACGAGGTGAAGCGCTTCGGAAGGTCCGAAACGGAGTTCCTCACGCGCATGCTCGAGGAGGATACCAAGAACTACCACGTGTGGAGCTACAGGCAGTACCTGGTGCGCAAGCTGGGGCTGTGGAACCTGCAGGAGCTGCTGTCGACGCAGAATTGGATCGAGGAGGACGTGAGGAACAATTCGGCCTGGTCGCACCGGTTCTTCCTCGTGTTTTCCGACCCAGCGGCTTCGACGGAGGGCTCGCACGCGACGGAGCACGATCCGAAGGTCCCCGCAGACATCGTGGACAGGGAGGTCAAGTACGTCGAGGAGAAGGCGCTGTTGGCACCGCAGAACCAGGCTGCGTGGAACTATCTTAGGGGTGTGCTGGTGAAGGGCGGACGAAAACTGGAGACCGCAGAGGCGTTCGCGGCGCAGTTTGTCAACGACATCGGAGAGGGCGAGGACAAGGAGGAGGTGCGCAGTACGCATGCGCTCGACTTCCTGGCCGACGTGTACGCGGAGAAGGGCCAGAAGGAGGAGGCGGGCAAGTACCTCGACCGACTGGCGGAGAAGTGGGATCCCGTGAGGGCGGGATACTGGAAGTACAGGAAGCAGCAGCTTGCATAGGTAGCGCGTTTGTGTGATAATTGATGTGTTATTGAGCTATCTTGTCCGAGACATACGCTTATGGGATGTTCTTAAAAGACGGTCATCCTCGCTTTCATGCTGCCGAAAAGTGACAGGGATCTCCCGTACCTCCGATTTTTGTCCATAATCCAAATCTGCCGCCAAGTTAGCAAGCTCTCTAGCAACCGGTATGTCATTACCCGTACCTCTCTCATTACGAATTGTGAAACAATCAGGTCGTCTCGACATGTCTTCATTCTGGGGTATATCCTCCGCCCGCCAATCCACCCACAACCTTACAGCGCGCGAAAGTTCTGGCTCATAATCAACCATCGCCTGACGCCGCGCGGGGGGTTCTTGCCAAAGGTGTCCCAGTTCGGCACCAGCACGAAGACCTCGTTAAACGTCTTGGCGGCGGCGTCGCGGCCCTTGCCGTAGTAGACGCGGCCGGTGACCTGGGCCATGACGCTGCACTTTGCGCCGTTCTTGTCGCCGCCCTGGAGGTGCTCGGGGCAGCCGAGGGAGAAGTCCGCGTTGACAACGTGGGCGTCGAGGGACTCGATCTCGTAGCGGACATCGGGGCCCTGGGTGTCGAGGAGGGTGGTGTACTCGTCGGGCCCGCTGGCGAGGACGGCGCCGTTGACGGAGATGTCGGGCGGCGTGGGGTACTTTGAGCAGGCTGTAGTGTAGAACTGCGACATTGTGCCTTTGAGCTTGCGGCGGTTGAGGGCGTCGTAGTAGGCATCTGCGAAGTTTGAGGCCGCTGGGGGAGGGCGCCTGCGTCAGTGTGGTGCTGCTGGTGGTGGGCTGGATGGTTGCGCACCGTCTGAGGAGGCCCTCATTTCCGTTTCGCGAGATGGGAGAGACATTGTGTTGTCCTGTCTTCGACTGTGTTTTGTGGAATAGGACGTCGAGCTTTTTCGAATGCGCAGCGTTGTTGTTTACTCGAGGTTGTCGCAAAGATGTCGAGGTGAAGGGGACTCGGTCAGAATTACGGCGGGGTGCAGGGATCTTTCACCGATAAGAGCTCTCTACCGTTATCGCCCGACTCAATTGGTACGGTGCCCTCAGAAAGTCACAACATTTCGAGAGGCAGTGATCAGTCGCACCCTTCGATTCATGATCTACCTGCATGCTTGACGGCGACATGCTTTCCCAAAGGTAGCTTTTTGACGAACACAGCCGCAATGAGACAATTAAGACTACCTGCAGCTTCGGCCTTCCGCACTCGCCGCTATGCACCAGCGCTGCGACCGGCCTGGGTCTGCCCCTCGTGCAGCTATGGACCGACATTGCGACGGTTCGCGAGCTCTAACAGCAAGAGCGTAAAGCCGTATTATGTGACGACGCCCATCTTCTACGTCAATGCATGTATGTGAAGATGTTCCGATGCAATCACTGAGACCTGCGAGCTAATGAGGACATGTACAGCCCCGCATGTCGGCCACATGTACTCGATGCTCCTCGCCGACGTCCTCAAGCGCTGGCAGGTCCTCAAGGGCAGGCCGGCGATCCTGTGCACCGGCACCGACGAACACGGGTCCAAAGTCCAGCAGGCGGCCGCCAAACAGGGCGTTGCCCCCAAAGAGTTCTGCGACTCGACGGCCGAGAAGTTCCGCGACCTGGCGCAGGTGATTGGCATGGACAATGACTACTTCATTCGCACCACCGACCCGGACCACATGGAGGCTGTGCAGCATTTCTGGTTCCTGCTGAAGGAGAAGGGATATATCTACGAGAGCAAGCATGAGGGGTGGTATTGTGTGAGCGACGAGTGCTTCTACGCCGCGAATGAGGTCGAGAGGACGTTGGTGCCGTCGACGGGACGGACGGTGATGGCGTCGATCGAGACGGGCAACGAGGTCGAGTGGGTCGAGGAAAAGAATTACCACTTCCGCATGACGGCGCTCAAGGACCGCTTGCTGAAGTTCTACGAGGAGAACCCGGACTGGATCGTACCAAGGGCAAGGCAGAAGGAAGTCATCGCCTGGGTACAAAACAACCTCGAGGATCTGTCGATATCAAGACCCGTACAGAGGTTGGACTGGGGCATTCGCGTACCGGACGATCCCTCGCAGACGATTTACGTCTGGGTGGACGCGCTCATCAACTACCTCACGAAAGCCGGATTCCCGACATGGCAGCCTGGGAAAGAGCACGAGGGAGGCTGGCCAGCGGATGTGCACGTCATCGGAAAAGATATCGTGCGGTTCCACGGAATCTACTGGCCCGCGCTGCTGATGGCGCTGGATCTCCCACTGCCGAAGCAGTTGCTAAGCCATGCGCATTGGACGTTGGGGAAGAAGAAGATGTCCAAGTCGTTGGGAAACGTGGTTAACCCCTTCTTTGCCGTCGACCGATGGGGGTTGGATACGATGCGGTACTTCATGATGCGCGACGGCGGCATCGAGCAGGATGCTGACTACGAGAACTCGTTGGTCGTGGCGCGGTATCAAAAGGATCTTCAATCGACCGTGGGCAACTTGATGAACAGGGTTGCCAAGAGCAAAACGTGGAAGCTCAGGGACTCCGTCGTGTGGGCAGAAGAGAATAGCGCCTCTCTGTTGAGCTCTGTCGTGTGGGCGGAAGAGGATAGCACCTCTCTGTTGAGCAGTGAGAAGCTGAAAGCAAGTATAAACGGCATGGCGTCTGACATGTCAAAGAGCATGGATGAGTTGAATCCCAATGCTGCCATCCGTGGTGTGCTGGATGTTCTCGCCGACGTAAGCGCGCTTCCCTGGAAATGCTCTGCGGAAAATATGTTAATAAGGCTTCTAGGCGAACAAGTACATTTCCCACCTGGCACCGTGGAAGCTGGTCAAGTCGAAGGATCCCAAAGACCAAGCCACGCTCCACGAGTGCATCTTCTACACCGCGGAGGCTTCGCGTGTGGCGGGCATTCTGCTCCAGCCTGTCATGCCGACCAAGATGGGGCTTCTGCTGGATACCATGGGTGTTGACGCCGGCAAGCGGCGCTTCCAGGATGCGACTTTTGGCGCAGACTTGACATACGGTGTCCCGGTGCGCGATCCAGGCAAGGAAGGGAAGTGGAACGCTTTATTCCCTCCGCAGGCCGCTGAGGAATGAGTCTAGGCGTTTCCATGTTCTGTATGAATTGAATGTAAATGTAAAATCTCCCCATCACTGGTGGAAATGTAAGATGTTGTAATTATATGATGATGAACGATGGAGAAGGTCTCCAGGTCAGCCGGGCGTAAAGCGTGACTGCTCTCAAAAACTAAGCCGTCTCTTCTTCCCAACTTGATTTGTTGAAATCAGCGGGTGGTAATTAAGTCAGCCAGTATATAATGAGACGTTTTCTTGCGCAGAAATAACAGGATATCTCGAGATAGGGTAGGTATTAATTCGTTGTAAGTAGATGCGAGGGCTTGCGCTCGGTCCTGAACAGTACGCACACCCACCACCTGCTGCACACAGCAGCAAGGCCAGCAAAAGCAGCACCGGTCTAAAAAGAATGTGCCACTCGGATTCATCAAGAAGATCAAAAGAAAACCGTCAAGGACAGGATTCGAACCTGCGCGACCGAAGCCACTGCCTGAACAACGATTATCCTAGGGACAATAGCAGGGCAGCCCATTAACCACTCTGGCACCTTGACTGTTGATGGATTTGGAAGTGTGGAATGTCCACTAAGTACCCCGCAATCTCTGTCCACCTCAGCACGCGACGTTAGTGGACCACACACCCGACCACCCACTCAAGCCCAAGCTCACCAAGCTCGGGGCACTAACTCCGCCTCAGCCAAAAACTCGGCTCGCAACTTACACCACCGAGTGACTCAACCGGTCATTCTCAAAAGCGCAAAAAGGAAACACGTCAAGGACAGGATTCGAACCTGCGCGACCGAAGCCACTGCCTGGCAGCTAGGTTGTCTCGGTAAACCGAGGCACTCCGTAGCAGGGCAGCCCATTAACCACTCTGGCACCTTGACACTTGTTCTTGTTGAGGACTTCCAGGGGTTCGGAGGGTCCATACCTCGCGGCCATCGTGCGTCTGCTTCCGCGGACGGGGTCGTTTGTTTGCCCCTTTCGGACAGCGGCAGCACGCAGACGTGGAGCGCAGGGCGGGGACGCTGGCCACCTCACCGGCTTCGCTCGCATTTTTAGTTTTTGTGACGAGGGTGCAAGTGGGGGATCTGGTGCCTGAGACGGACACCCTTGGCATACTTCACGATGAGATTGAATGAGAATACAGGCATGTACTTTGAGGACACTGTCTGATTTGGTTGACGCTGGTCGTTTGGATGTGAGGGACTTACAAGAGCACAGCGATCGCGACGCCGGCGGTGACACTTGTGCCGTACGAAGCGAGACATGTGGAGCGTTATCATGAGTGGATGAGTGATCCGGTCAGCAGAACGCCGCACCAAAGTACCCGCCGATTCGTCCAAGCACATGCTTATTTTTGTGACAGGATATCCAAGAAGCGACGGCCTCTGAGCCATTGACGCTGGAGGAGGAATACGAGAACCAGCAATCGTGGCGGACGTCCCATGACAAGCTCACCTTCATCATCTGCCAACCCCTGGATGCGGCCTCTGATGCAGCCAGCGTAAAGGCTGGTGAGGTTGATGCGGCGGCACGCATGATTGGCGACATCAACTTTTTCGTTTATCCACACGACGACGAGGAAGAGGGCGAGGGGGCCTATGTCGGTGAAGTGGACGTTATGGTGGCGTCGAAGGAGCACCGCGGCAAGGGTGTAGGATACGCTGCTGTCACGACGTTGCTGCTGTATGTTCACCGCAACCAAGAGCGCATACTAAAGGAGTATGTTGAGGGCGAAGGCAAGAGTGGAAAGGCTGAGTTGAAGGGGTTGATGGTCAAGATCAAAGAGGGGAACGCAGCGAGCATATCGCTATTCAAGAGAGTTGGCTTCACGCAGAAAGGAGAAGTCAATTATTTTGGGGAGGTCACGATGGTGCTGAATGACTTGGGTCAGTTTGTGGCATCTCCTGCTGGGTTGAAGGCAGCGGAGGAATCGCGAGAGGTGGCTTATGCGAGATAGACGAAGCACATGAAGATAGAACACAAGAAGACACATAGAACGGCAAAGCCACCGTCTCATACTGGTTATCAGCTTCTATTTCATGTCTTGGCAGTGTATATCTAATTTTATCGTCTAAAAAGAGACCATCGTCTTCTGTCTCATGCGCTTTCAAATGCGTCGCCGAACTTTTCACGGTACCCATTCAACATCTCAAGTGTAATGTTCGAACCGCCGCAGACGATGAGCACAACGTTTTGCTTCGCCCATTCCTCATCCGACATGCCCGAGCCCAGCTGCTTCCTCAACATGCCGTTATAGACTGTAGCTATTGTCGCGCCGCAAGCAACCTCAACCACAAGCTGTGCATCATCGACGAAGCGCACGGTTGCCATGGCCGCCTCCGCATCACTGACCGTCACACTCCGGAAACCAGGCGTCTTCTGCGAGACCTCCCACGTCCTCTGAGAGACCCTCGTGGCGCCCAAAGAAAAGGCGATTGAAGTGATGCCGGGCAGGGTGACGTGCTCGCCAGCCAACACGCTCGCATTCAGACTGTCGGCTCCCCGCGTTTCGACGGCCATAAGACGGGGTTCCCGGCCTTTCGTCCCCTGCCAGCGCTCCGGCTCAACGCCCTGTGCGAGTCCGTTGAGGAGGCCGCCGCCCCCGACGGAGCAGACGATGGCGTTGATGTCGCTGCCTGGCAGCTGAGATACCAATTCGTCGACAATGGTCGATGCGCCATCCCACACGTGCTGGTGATCGAAGGGCGGGACGTAGACGCCGGCAGGGTCCTTGGCGAGCAGCTCCTCGCGCAGGTAGCGGTCGGCCTGGGGCCAGTTCTCGCCGACTTGGTGGACCT